CCCGCCCTCCCCTTCCTCCCCTTCCTCCCCTTCCTCCCCTTCCTCCACCACCGCCCCCTCGTCCTCTTTCTCGTCTCTCACCCCCTCCCTCGGGACATTCCCGGGCAAAGTGGCCACTCCCGCCACAATTGTAACAACCGTCACCGCCTGTGAAAGAGAGGAAGAAGATTCAGGTTATTGCTCGACACCAAGGTTGATATACAATGCAATCCCCCATGAGGTTGATAGTAGGTAAAAATGACCATTTTTTTTTTGTGGCACAAAACAACCCTGTTTGGTTTTTGAATCCCTTCTCGTTTCGATCATGTCACATTCACCCACACGACAGCGTCTAATTAAAAAGAAGCCTTAAGAATTTGCTACCTTTGCAGAATGTGGCTCTTCTTTCCTAACTGGAGAGACAAAATCTGGCTATGAGGCATGGGCCTGAACTTAACCCAACTTGAAAAGATCCCGATAAAAAACCCTAATGTTCGTTAACCGGCCCTAACCACAGACGGACAAATCTAGCAACGAGAAGCATTTTTCAATCTCTTTTGGGTGTTCGCTAGCTAGAGCTTCAAACGTAAAACTGAGTAGTTTCGCCACGAATTAATAAGTGTGTACCTCTTCCTCCACTACCTCTCTCCCCCCTGTCGTTGTAACCATTGCGTTCACGGAATTCTTCATAGCGTTGCGCCATGTCCGCTAGTTCATCGGGAACTTCCTATGATCAGTGTAAGATTGGTCGAAAGGGGAAAATCAGGTTTTGGTGTTTATTACACAAGTTAAAATTACTAAATTGGTAAATGTCTACAAAAGTTGTTCCGTGGTACATTTGGAAGGAGTCTTAGTGAGGGAGGTTATTTTACGATTTTATTACAGTTGTTGTGTTTGTTGTTGTTGTTTTGTTGCTGTTTTATTTACTGCTGCCAAAATCTGCAGCAAAACATGGCGTAACTGCATTTATAACAAAGGATTTTGTTTCATGCGCACTTTGACATATTGGAATTGACATTTGTTAGGAAAATTGACATCAATTACCTGATTGGCTTCCACCATGATACTGATGAGTTTGTGAGCCATTCTCCAGTCCTCTCGAGTCACAAAAGTAAGCGAAGTGCCTTTCTTACTACAAGAAGCAAAAAATTCGCGGACTAAATGCAAATTTGTTTCAGTTTTCAATAGAATGATCGAGACATGCTGTCCATAAGGATCAGGGTTGAGTTTTGTTTCTTCTCCCTTGTTGTTGAACATTTCCCTAAAAACTTCGTTCGGAAAATTTGGATTCTAACATCATGACGCCCTCCCAAGTTCATAATCTTTATCACATGCGTGAATTTTCTAAATCACTCTTTGAATTAAAGGATACATTCTTTAAAATTTCGATTTCTTGTAGCACTTAACAAAACAAACCTCTCAGATAATTCCATGATACTCTTAATTCTCAAACAAAATCAGAGAATAAAAAAGATATTTGTTGGTGTGACTGTGCATGATACACCTTCACTCACCCTGCCCTTCCTGTGCGGCCAATACGATGAACGTAGTCCTCAATGTTTCGTGGGAAGTCAAAATTTAGCACACATCTGTTAGAAAAAAAATCGCACAACCGTTAAGATAAATTCTCATCATTTTTTGCACTATAAATGAAACAAACATAATAAAAACGCCTAAAAATCTTAGTAACCGCTACAACAAAATTCACTTTCGCAACAATGTTCATTTTCTGCTTGTGGTGTCTAATTCTATAAAACAAATGGTTCGTGGCTCGAATCCCCTCATTTGCCCCTGTCCCTACCCCTGAGGGTGTACAACAGGGAGTGAAAGTAGCAGGGAGGTCAAGACAAGGGCGGGCTTTTCCCGTTCCAGTCCCAAATCTTTTATCTCCCACATTCTTCCCATTTTTTTCCCTTACAATTCCTCGCAGTACCCTTTAATGTCAAACTGAATAGAACTCACGTGACACCGCGAATGTCCAATCCCCTGGAAGCTACGTCGGTTGCGATGAGGATTTTCGCCACGCCTGTCTTAAAATCATCTAGTGCTTGCTCGCGATCGATTTGTTCCCTGTAACATTGTCACAACTGTAAAAGTGACTACCTTGATAGTGGTCTAACAACAGAACACTATACACAGGCTTGTATATTGGAGGCTAACCATAGACAAACAGGTTTAGGAAAGAAGCATTTAACACATGAGCAAACTCAGTTCTCTCAATTACAAGATAAATCAACGCACAAAATTTAAGGGCCGCGGTTCTTCTTGTAAGTTGAGATCTACATGCAATGAGCGGATCAGACAGGTTTACAAAAAGGCTCCTTATGCTGACAGAGTAGTACTGAAAAACTCTCACCATAAAGGGTTACAAAACATATCGCACAAGTAAAGAGACGTTATATTTATGCTGGTAGCCACTGTCTTACCTGTCCCCATGTATACACTGTACTCCTTGAATTCCAGACAACATAAAGTCACTCGCAATGTCATCGGCTCTATAAAAACAATTAAAATAATAAACATGGGTAGGAGTCCGCTTTGAAGTAACAAACCTCCAAAAAAAATTATTAACATTACTTCATGTACCTCACTTTAGAATTTCACCTGATCACTAATGCATCAGTAATAACGACACATCCCCTGGTGTTATCGGGTCTTACGAAGAGGTCAAGAAAATGAAACTGTGGAGTTTTTGAAAAAGCCGAAACGTGTAGTGCCACAAGTACTTTTTATCGAGCGCAGCACCACAGTTTCTTTAGAAATATGCCCCTTTATCTGTTTGTTATCTAACGGTTCAATTAGACAATTTTTGAGCAAGACTTACTTTATTTTCTTGCCCACGAAAATCAGCACCTTGTCGCTCTCAGTCATTTGCGAGATAAAGTGAAGCGTCTGCAAAAAAAAGGGGAATGCAATAACATTATTTTAAAGTCTACCAACGTTGCTTTCATGTCCATTGTGTTTATAGGGGGGAGACAAGATTATCAAGATTGTTTCGGTTTCAAAATCTTGTCCAAGATCACGGATATTAAGATGATGAAGGACAGAGAGGAATTTCAGTGACGATGACGATGACGATGACGATGACGACGAAATCTATGATGATGACACGCTTTATCGCAGCCAACTATCAACCGTCAACATGTTCACACATCTATATCAATATTCAATGCCAAGGCATAAACTAAAGTAGAGTTCACCTTGTACAAAGTTCACGTAATTTATTTTAACGACACTTACTTTTTTCAGAAAACAAGAGAGATTAAGACTGGTACAAACCCTTTCTTTCTTTTCAGCAGGATCCAAAACCTCAACAAGCTGCGTAACATTGTGACAAGCCTAAAAACACAAATTTGCAAAGTCAGGGCAGAGCACAAAACAATTTTTTTCGTAAGAGTGATTATTTTGAAAATTTTTCTAAGCTACTTCTCACATTTCCTCGTTGTCGATTTTTTTCAAGAAATGCGAGCGTTTTTAACCCTTTTATACACCCTAATATCAGTATGCACATTCTCCTAACTATTCGCTATAAATTTTCGAAGGTACGGATAAGGAGAATTTGTTTAAAAATCTAGAGCTTTTTCAGTTGGTGACCATTCCCTTAATTCTCGTGACTTTAAAGTGTGATTCAGGAAAGATGGCGAGAGGAGAAATCAGATGCTGGTCACTCTTAAAGGGTTGAATTAACATCGCAACTGAGTCGCTAAAAATTTAACCATTCAAACCCAGAGAGTGACCAGCATGTAATTTCTCATTACAGTAGTACTGCTGAATCATTCAGTAACATCATGAGAATAAAGGAAATGATCACAAACCTAAGAGCTTTGATTGATAAACAAATTCTCCTTATCAGTACCAAAGGAAAGTATAGAGAAGAGTCAGGAGAATATGTATGCTGATGTTAGGGTGTAAAGGGTAAATAAAAGCTATGGACCTTCATTGCGTTCAAATAACGATAACACCACAAGGCCTTTCTCTAGCATGCTGTGCTTACATTCAAATCCAGTGATCCCACAAACACCCTCATGGGATCCTTCATGTACTGATCAGCCATTCTCTGGACACTTTTTGGCCAAGTTGCACTATAACAGAAGTGATCAACATTAAAATCTCCTCACAGGAACATTAAATACATACAAGACAAGAAAAGAGAAAACAAGAAATCATCCTATGCAAAAAAATGTTCTCTTTGTTGTCTCTCTTCTCCTCTGAAAAGAGGAAATTGTGATATCTTAAACATAAACAAACAAATAAATAAATAAACGAAGAGACAGAAAAAATGTCTAAATAAATAAAACAAACTACAAGACAGCAAAACCTCAATAATTATGATACACAGGAAAATTGCAAAACACTGTTAATACTGCCACAGAGTTCAAGTCTGTAATAACAGTGATGTGTACTTATTCTTGTTAAAGTCTAATAACTATATAGTATACTCATGTAAGTACAAAACATATTGACTGGCATTCAAGCCTTCCTTCAAGTCTACTTTGCGCTTAAGAGGAAAACAATGTGTGGGTATATGCATATGTACCTTGTCATAATTGTTTGCCTGTCCGGTCTGATATCAAGTAAAATTTTCCTGATCTCTGGTTCAAATCCCATATCAAGCATACGATCTGCCTCATCAAGCACCTTCAACATCAGAGATATTATTTGTGACTTAAATATACAGCTGGGAGTGAAAACGGAAACTGTGAAAAGTGCCGTCTACTAAACCAGATCAGAACTTTCCATAGTCTACCAAGCAATCTCTAAGAGTGCAACTCTTGTAACTTTTATTAATGTATAAATTATACATTTTATTAAAGAAAAACTTACCAGATAGGTGACACTTCTGACATCCATTATTTCATTCATAAGCAAATCATTCAATCGACCAGGGGTAGCTGATTAATAGAGAAAAACAATGATTTCATGTTGATTTACAAATTAACAAAATCACCTTAGCTAAGAGAAAATATTCTTGAACTGCAAATGATAATACAAAATGCAGCTACATACAGAATTTGATGATTGTGCTCTAAACACACATAAAAGTGAAGCAGAATCAGCCTCCCCTGAGCAACCCATAGGCATTGGACTATCGTTTGCAAAATTTAAACCTTGCCTGTGTGGGGTGAGATATTTGAATGGGAACTATCAAGTCTTTCCAGCTGAATACACATTTCTCCTTTTAATATGGAGTTTTTTTAAGGTAAAGAGTTTCCCTAAGTGAACAAATGGCTCAGAAGAAAAGGTCTGCAAAAAAGTCACCGTCACTGATCTTGCCTTTTATAAAAAAAATTGACCATCAAATCTGGCTTTTGGACAGGGCATTTGACCACAACTTAGCCCAGGGGATGGGAATTCAAACTAATTGTGGGAGGGTGTTGAAGATTTTAATTCATTGACACATTACTCCTAAATGGACTACAACACCATCTCAGGATACTAGCATGCATTCCATCTGGCTTCCTGACAGTTTGCCCATATCCATTTATACTCCTGAGTGGAAACAGGTGTTGTAAGAGCAAAGTAAACTTAAGAACAGAACATGTTGACCCAGCCAGGTATCATACACAGGCCTCTGGACACATACTGTAGTCCAGCACGCTTACCATGAGTCCACCATATCTCCCGAAGGGAAAAAGACTTAATGTAGCCACAGGATATCAAGGCAATAAAATTGATATCAGTACCTATAACAATCTCAACTCCTTTCTGAACTACTTGAATCTGTCCTTTTCTGCTTCCACCTCCATAAACACAGACACTATCAAAAACAATTTAAGTTTGTATGACTCAAGAAAAAAAAACAAACAAACAAAAAAAAAATACATGCTAAAGACTGAAAAATGAGCAGGTACAGTGTCAGGCTACCTCTTCACTCCACCCTCTCTGGAGTAAATAATCAGAGTCCTCCACAAGGAATCAAGCTCTAGAGCTTCATATTGCATGGTTCAATACTCTACCAGTGAGTTACAGAGAAACTATGGGTGAGCTAAGAAACATGCTAGGTCCATATTAAACAAATGAATAAGCCGATAGGGGGTAGGCTTCTAAAAAAGCTCTGGTTCTGCATTTCGAGTGTTAGCACCCATTCCATTCACTCTGACAAAGGGCTAATGCTTGAAACATCAGCTTAGAAACTCTTAGAAACTCTAAATTGCATCATCAACTCTGATGATAAAACTAAATTATAATATTTGACAAGCCTCCTCAGTACAGCAAGATATACATATTGAACAAGTATATGAAATTATTGTGATCTACACTGTTTACTTGGAGTAAATGTGGCCAAATTTAACATTCCAAGGGAAAAATACTTTATTTCTTGAAACTTTAAAATGGGAAAAAAAATCTGCCAACCTTTTTATTCCCCTGTAATGAAATTTCTTAACTTCTGCTTCAATTTGCAAAGCAAGTTCTCGCGTGGGGGAAAGAACTAATACAGTAGGGCCACCTCTTTCATTACGAGGCCTGAAATAAACAAAAAAACACCATAAGTTCCTTGCAACAGTGACAAATAGTTATAGTAATCTGTATTGTAGAAGCTACAAATTTGGTTCTGAAAATTAATCAGTCAGTTTTGCCATGACCTACAGTATATTCTGCCTATATTTACAAAGCTGTTTATTTACGTTTCTTGTCCATCAATATGAAGGAAAGCAGGAAGTAGAAAGGCCAATGTCTTTCCTGTACCTGTCTGTTGATGAAAACAAAGGCAAACAGATTTATAAACAGTTGTGCCACAGGAGAAACAAACAAAGAAACAGAGAACTAAAAAATACAGTAATATAAGTTGGCAGTTCAAATTTGCTTCCATACTATTTTGCAGCTTTAAAAAAAGTTTTCATGGCCTGGTCCCAGGTAAGTTCCAAAGCTCTTGCATGTGCCACACATGAATTTGAAAACCCTGCAACTCCCTAGATCTGATTGCTAATTCTCCCTAATTTCTAGCTGAGCCACTACACATTTCTTTGTACATTAGTTAAGAATTTGGAGTTACAGTAGGTCAAGAAAACAACTTCAGCTTAAGTATTGAGTATTTTTACCTGTTTTGCTTGAAAAAGTATAATATTATAGAGAGAAGTTACATGTTAATCATTTTTGGGAGTTAACAGGTTAACTCAGAACACATACTTGTTGTAATGCAACTCAAACATAATTATAATTTGTTTTAAAATATGTGTAGGAAACAGTTTATAACATGAAAAAGGTTTATGTCAGCAACAACAGACTTTAACCCTATCTAGGACAGGCACCATAAAACTTGATCTAGCTGCAATCACTAATGGGCCATGGGCTGAAAGGGCTTAACAGATAAGGATTGGACTTTTGGCTCACCTGAGCAATCCCTATCAAGTCCATCCCTGACATGATTACTGGCCAGGACTGGCACTGTTCAAAAAGAAAAAAAATCCAATTTCTAACATTTTAATAAGGTTTACTTCAATTAATGCTTTCTTTATTATTCCTCAGAGTCAGACATTATTAGTAAATATGATGAATAGGAAAATATTATACTTGTATTTAGGCTACAAGCAGGAAGTCACCGAATTACATATACAAGCAGTTAAATCTACATTGTAGTTGCTACCCAGCTGTTATTAAAAATGCATAATTATGATCTCATACAAGCTTATCACATGGATAATTTGACCTGAGACAAGTAAGTGCTGAAACAGTAAAATACCTGAATAGGTGATGGTCTGACAAATCCTGCTTTCTTCATTTCTTCCATGATTTCAGCTGTAACAAAAACAAATTCAAATCAAAAACACCTTTAGTTTGGTAAAAGGAGAATGAATCAATAGTAAGTTTGCTTTTTCCTGAAAAAATCCTGATTTGCTTCAAGGTCTTAACCCTTTAACTCCCAGGATCTAATTCTTAATTCTCCTCTCTGGCTGCTAGACAATTCCTTGTAGGATAGTTACAAGAATTTGGTGTTTGATCAAGTTTAAAACTTCTACTTGATAAGCTGGAGTATTCTCATCACCCGTTTGCTGGATAATGTAAGGATATTATAGGGAGAATTTACATGTTAATCACTTCTGGGAGTTAAAGGGTTAAGTCCTTACACAAGCTCTTCCAATTTACAAGTTCTCAGAGCAGATTTGTGCAAAATATTCACATTGATATCGAATTTTATAACATCTGTATACATGAAAACCTGACAAAAATAAATAAAACAAAAAAAATTCACTCAAATCTAAATGTAATTCAATTTTCTTGACATTCTTTGCATCTTTGTGGATTCTTTTAGTACCACTATATTTAATTCAATTCATAAATTTTGAAATGGTAGCAGAGCTAAATTAACCTTTTATCCTTCCACACTATGGAGCACAATCATCACATTGTCAAATTTGAAAAAAGGGTAACTGGACATTTCGGACAAAAGACTTTTCGTGCAAGTCTTTTAGCACAAGTTTTGGACCGTTTGCACAATTCTTAGTGGTCATTTCGCACAATAATTATAAGTGAGAAACATCAATATAAAAGGTATACTGATAAGACATTTCACCTTGACAAGATCCAATGGCCGAAACTAAAAGGTTTTTTCCAACGGTTTTTCCAACGGCCAAAACTAAAAGGTTTTTTGTTTAACAAAGGAAAAGTAATAGAAGTAATCATTCGAATAGGGAGTTCTCATTTTCATAGAGAGAAAGAGTTGTTCCTTTCTTCAAGTAAGAATGGTGATCGTGTTCACAGGCATTTCGATCTAGTTGAAGTTATAAATAAATGTAAATAAATGTCTACGTTCTCGCCGTTGGATCTTATTGAAAGTGACATGTGAAGGTGAAATGTTTTATCAGTATTAATTAGTATACCTTTTATATTAATGTTTCTCACTTATAGTTATTGTGCGAAATGACGTCTAAGAATTGTGTGAATGGTCCAAAACTTGTGCTAGAAGACTTGTGCAAAAAGTCTTTTGTGTGAAATGTCCTCTATTTGAAAAAAGGGATACAATGAGATAACTCACGATAATCAGCATAAGCTTCGGCAAATGTTGTAACAGGGTTTGGAATACTACGGTCCTGAATGGATTCCCCATAATTTTCTACCATGATTCTATTATTATCCAATCTAAAAGGCGAGGAAAGAATAGTTATTTGTTTAATAATATAATTCTTACAAGCTGTTTAAGACCAAGCAGGGATAGAGGCCTACTGTATTGAAGATATTTAAGGTCTGACATATAACCTAGCTCCATCGACTTTACATCGCATGCAGTAAAGATATCACTTAGAGAGGTTGATCAACCAGTAAAGCTGGCACATGTACATGTACAGGTAAAGCAAGTCTCTTGAGATTTCAAGTACAGTTCAATTTTGTACATCAGTGCAAGTTAAGGAAGTAATCCTGTTAGACCCCTTTACACCCTCAGACCATTAGGCATATTCTCCATACTGTTCTCTCTAAATTTCCTACGGTATTGACAAAGAGAATCCTTTTAACAACTAAGAGATTCTTTAAATTAGTTGCTGATCTTTACCTGTATTCTCATGATCTAAATGTTTGATTTAGTAGTGATAATGTATATTTATTTTAGTGAAAATGAAAACCAGTCACTCTTGGAGGTTAAAGAGTTAACAGCTTACAAAAATTTTATGTTACCATTATGACGCCTGCTTTTCCACAGACAGTTTGATAAACTCCACACATTCTTACCTAAATTTCTCCACTTCTTCATCAGCCATGTTTGTAATCGATGGCTGCTCTCTGTAAAATACTTTCTTGATGGGTGGTAAATCTGAATATCAAACAATACAACAGTATAAAACTTAAAATCAATCAAGATATTAAAATGGTGATGAAGAGGCATGGATATAAAACCTAACCGTTCACCAAGGTGCAGTACATGTTTCATTATATGTGAATAGAGCTTGATAAAAAATAAATTTGAGAAACAGAAAAATTATAACAACTTTAAATTAAATGATTACTGGGCAACAAAAAGACTTCGTTTATCGTTATTCTTGTATTCCTTTGTATAGACTTTCTAATTGATAAGAGAGGTATGTTTTCTGCTAGCAAGATTTCTTTAATAATAATTCATGAAACAATAAGTAATTGTATATCTCAGTTAGTAAGTGCACTATGATTTGCCACTTTAGGGGGCCATATTTCACTGTACAGCCTGCTGATTTCAAAAGCTTGTTTGAACTAAAATATTTCCCATGTTTGAACCCAGAGATAAAATATTTGTAGCTTCTACAAATCTCATTGACTCCATTTTCTCAGTCTGTATTGCAAGTTACAGAGCTAATTATTTTAGGCCTAGGCCATAAATCTGATTGAAAAACATTTTCCAAAACTTACAGAACTGACCTTGACCTTGCGTAAGAAGAGGAAGTACATTAAATATTAAATTACTAACAGTACATGCCATTCAAGGAGTGAAGATCAGCACTAGTCAACAAGGTTAAATTTAGTATGATACCTGCCCATCTTGCAGCTTCCTTTTCTTCCTGTTCTGAACGAAGCTTTGCCCAAGGAATACGTTTGGGCTTAACCGGTTGGGAACTGAAGATAGAGATACAAGGCAATTTTCAGGGATGCAGAAGGTTTCTGTTTCAAGCTTTATTACATACATTTTGAAATTGTTGGTGATCCATGCAATCTGATTGGCTCAGATTGGTGCAACTTATTCACAAATTTCACCAATTTTTGCTCCAAATCACATCTTTTTCCCAGCCTATTAGAAACCTCTATTAAAACACAACAACCAATCATATTTCAAGGCTTGTTCACATAAACCAATCAAATTAGAGGAAAACGAAACACAATTTTTAAGTTTTATAAACCAGCTCAGCACTAGATCAATAAAATATTTCAATCTAATGACTACAAAAATCCTGTATTTGAGCAGCTGAATTTTGCAATTCATGATGGATGCAATAAAGTACATGTAGTGATTGTAAATTTGTGTCAAGCAATTTTGGTCTGAAATTATACTTGTAATTTCAAATCAAACTCACGCTGCATGCTTGTTCAATTTTGAAATCACTTGTATGATTTCAGACCACAATGCACTCTACTCAGTTCAATTACCATTATTAATCCATGGTGCTCATTGGGAAAATCAGTACGCACAAGAGGTGATGCAAAAATTTCAAGAGTGATCAAAAAAAATACAAAAAACCATCTTATTGCTGAGATAAAGCTTTTAATGTTAAAAACAAACCTTTCATCTGAAGTACCATTTTGAATGGATAGACCTGAATAATTAAGACAGATAAAACATATTATTACTGACAGTGACATGAAAAGGTCAAAAGATATGTCTGTACTCAAACCCAGAGGCCCATGCAGCCATCACCATCGATGACATTTGTCTTTCCTATTACCGTAAAAACCCGCAGATAAGCCACACCTACAGATAAGCCGCACTCTTAATTTAGCAGCTCAAATTTTGGGAAAAAAGAATTTTGAACGAAATCAAAAGAAATCCAAAGTTGAGTCTCAAGAAGTCTTCTTCATCCACTGTTCATCAAACATAAACTTACTATTAACACTGCAATGGAAAATACTTCAAATTCTTACCCACAATTTTAGCACTTCAACATAACAGACATCGTTTCTACCAACTTTGACATATGATGGATATTTTTCTGGTATTTGTTGACAGGAATTTCTTCATTCAACACAGTTTTTCCATAGATTTTTGAATTACAACAAGAATGTGAGCGGAACATTCAAAGCTTAGGAACCAGGCATCAGATCAAATGCAACGGACATTAGCGTTGACATTCACAACACCTTTTTCAAATGTTCCTGCAGATAAGCTGCACCCCCAATTTCTAGCAACGATTTTTGGAGAAAAGATGCGGCTTATCTGCAGGTTTTTACGGTATATATACTGTAAATAGATTCTATGTTACTCTGAGTCTTTATATTAAATTAATAGATCATAGCATGCATCCACATGTGGTAAGAACATATTCTTGTTTTTGTTCTTGCTATAACAATACCTTGACATCAAATGTGATCTATCACTGAAGAGATACATAGCAACAAAGTGACCAGCTCCCAGTTGGCTTGTTAGCTCAGTTGGTAGAGCACTGCACTGGTATCGCAGAGGTAATGGGTTCAAATCCTGTACAGGCCTAAATTTGTTTCAGCTTTTTTTGTCACTACTGCTCAAGTAGTGTTCATTACTGTGAAGATCATTTTCCAATTCATTTTGTACAACCACAGTTCACATATAAGATTTTCATATATTTACAGCCAACACGGAATATATTTGTTGAGTAGAGCTCATTCATTTAATGATATTGAGAGCTGGTCATACCTCCCATGTTATTTGTTACTGATGAATCAGGACCAATAATCTGTTCAATCATTTCTTTAGCTTTTTTAATTTGGTCTTCACTGCCAGAAATTTCTACTGGGGTCTCCGAATAAGTAGCATCATCCTTTTTCACCTGCCATTGAAATAATTGATAGTATTCAGCACAGAGAAATGGACAAGAACAGCCAGTTTTCATTACAACATTGAAAACTATGTTTCACAGTTCTAAAACTAGAGAACTTGACTTATTTTCCTCTGAAAATAAGTCAAGATCATATTTCAAATATTTTAGAGGAATTAAAGTTTTTAGGTTGACGTCATCCTTGACATAGCTGCGGCAATTGTCTACGATTTGGTAGCAGACCTTCAGGTGACTTACTGGAAAAAAAACAGTGGAATAAGGCCTTAACCCTTTAACAATAATATCACTATGCATATTCTCCAAACTGTTCTCTATACATTTTCTAAGGTGCTAGCAAGGAGAACTTGTTCAACAATTAAGAGCTTCCTAAGTTGGTGATCATTTCCTTTCTTCTTGCGACCTGAATGTATGATTCAAGGGTGACATTGCTGGTCGCTGTAAGAAGTCAAAGGCCTTAAGTGACTTTTCATTCATCATCAAGTTCTTCTTGTGTTTTGCATGAATATACAGGAAAAAGTTGGAAAGAGAAAATAACAGTATATCACAACTCACTTTGAGCTTATATCCAATCATTCTTTCAACTGTTACTACCTTTTTACACACCTTAATGTATGCTCCACTTTCACTCTGAATTTCTCTTATCTTTTGGCCACCTTTGCCTGATAAGGAAATAAATCAATCAATCAATATATTTAATGGTAACTCAACCCAAAGTAAGTTTAATAACTATCAAAAGCAAATATAATGGAAGAGGTAGTAAATTATATGATTTATCATTAAATAAAGAAAGAAGTGGGACCTTTGCTATATTTGTCAGCAAGGGGAAGATAAAAACCCAGATTAAACCTACAACTCCAAAAGATCAAATTGTTAATTCTCCCCTGTAGCTACTTCACATTTCTTCATAAATTAGTTGCGAGAATTTGGTGTTAGATAAAGTTAAAAACTTCTACCTGATAAGTTTGAGCATTCTCTTAACCTGTTTGCTGAATAAAATATGGATAACATAGGGAGAAGTTCAGTGTTAATCATTTCTGGCAGTAAAAGGGTTAACCTATGGGGATTAAAACCTCAGAGCTTCCCTTGTGCATAACTGAGGTGGTCAACTAGCAGGTATTTAAGCAGCAGTATACATGCATGTTGTGAGGGAAAGTGAGAAGGCTTCCCACCCCAGCCCTCTTAATACAAACAAACAAATAATGATATTGCCAGACACGCTCATTGAAAGTTGAAATAAAATTCCTGTATATTCTATAGCAGTTAATACATCAATCAAAGTCTCAACATCACCCCTCTCTCACAACCCCTCAGCAACCCCCCTTGCATTTGAGATTTTGCAGATTGGTTTGTTCAAATTCTTTCCCTCTGGCCCAAAATTGTGTGTGAATGCCCTGCCCCAAGGTTTGGATTTAATGGTTAATTTTTTGTAAAAGCCAAGATCAGCAACATTGACTTTCTTACAGACCTTTTCCTCTGAAAATCTGCTTACAAAAGTGAACTCTTTCCCTTAGAACAAGTGTATTCTTGTTCAAATTCCCCACTCCCCCCAGTTCTGGCACAAAGGGGGGGGGGGGTGTGTGGGGATGTTGAAGCTTTAAATTGATGCTTAACCCCAGCATGTACTTAACATAAAAGAAGAGCAGTTGACTTTAAATGCAATGGTAAGATGCAGGAGGGGGGTTTTATTTCAGTAACAGACCCTCCTTCTCCTCCCCCTCCCCCACCCAAGGATGTCAGAATCTTAATCTGGAGCTTCAACTGTTTGTCAGCTCCATATGGAGAGTGCTTAATAACCCTTGCATTTTATGGCGGCTTTTTATTGAAATGTTCACAGGATCTCACTTTGTCCGATTCCATGACAAAATTCGAACTCCATAAGTAAAAACCTTAGCAATTATTTATGTGGAGTGTGCACAAAGTCAAAGGTGTATATGTCTTTGGAGATATAACGAGCTAAAATACAAGATTAATCCACGTTTCATTTCCTTACCAATGATATAGCGCACATCATCTGAGGGCACCATAATCTCAGTACTATTTCTTTCACGTTCATTTCCTCGGGAATAATCCCTGTTTCTCCGATCTTGCCAGCCATCATCTTGGCGGCTGCCTCTCCACGAGCGACCACCACGTGCGAATTGTTTGCCACCAAACCCGCTTTCTCCTCCACTGAAACCTCCAAAGCTCCCACGTTCGGAATAATCATTCCTCTTTCCTGGGCTTGAGTACTCTTCTCTTGCATTTCCAAATCGATTTGCCCTTCCTCGTCCAAAGCCGGGTCGCCTACCATCAGAAAAATTTTCCTCGACGTTCTCGACATAGGAATTGTGCCATCCTCTCCCGCTAGGTGGAATATACACATTCTGAGGAGTGCTCCTAGAATCGTCTGCGTCTTCTTCCCAGTCGCTCATTTTCGCAGAAGCATATGTTTATTGGAGCTGCAGAAGGAGAATATCTAGCCTGAAAGTATTGTTGAAGGACACTGTTGCGCTAACCGCGGAGCCGCCATGACTGTTTGTATTGTCGCACGGGTTCATGGGATAGACAAGGCCCAGTCCTAAACATCCCCTTCTGTCGCACGTCCAAGAGAGTTCTCCTGAATGCGATATGTAACCCTGCTGACGAAAACTCGTTATGATCTTGTCTCCTTTGACCATAGTAAAGAGGAGACAAAAATTGTATCCTCATAATTTACTCTGAACTAAATGTATGGTGTAACGATTTTGACATCACATCCTGTTTCATTGTGGCAAGTTTTTATAACGGGACAGTTCCTTTCGATAGCCCCGGTTGTTCGAAGCTTTGATAACGCTATCCATCCGATACCGGTGTATAGCGCAGTACGTTTTGTAATCACTTATCCGCTAGATAGCAATTTATCAGTTGGATGGCGTTATCCGCCCTTTATCAGTTGGGCCCTGAGCAGTATCTT